GACTTTTGCTATAGATTCCCAACAATGTTCGAAAAGGTATTTCTTCATTTCAGACACTACCCTTATCCTCATCAAGTACTGTATGTGTGTGTTAATCATGTCACCAGTATATTAATTGTATTTTAAGTAATAAAAAAATACTACTGAAAGTCAACTGCAAAAATCATTATGGCGAACTTCCTATTTCTTATTAATCAGTACTTTACTAATTATCGTCACACGTATCAACAATGATTTAAATAGTTGAGACTAATTAGTATTTGATCATTGCATACTTAATTAATTAATTAATTAATTATTAACTAGTTAGATAATATATAATGGTAGAAATCTATGTTCAACTTTGAAGAGATCTATTCTTAGCAAATAATATTCTCTGGAAACACTTTTCTCTTTGTTTGTATGCATATAATTATCTGTGGCTATCGACACCATTATCAATATGATCGTTCAAGAACTATTGCACATGTAGAAGACGAAAAGAATGTTGAGACTTACACATTGTGATCATTGTTGATGAGCTTTGTTATTCTTTAATGAAAAAGTTAGTCTATATTTTCAAATATTCTAACTATTCTTTTTCTTTCTTATTCTTTCACTCTTGACTAATTTTTATTTTAGATTATTAATTATAAAAATATTTTATTGTAAAGAATTATTATACAAAAATAAATTTTTTCTTTTTTGTATAACTTCTTATAAAATAATAAACAAATATTTTATTCTTGAATATTTTTCAATAAACAAAAATAAAACAACTTTATTTTTTCATTTGTTAATTTAGAATTTTTGAATCAAACTTTCTCAAGTGAAGATTTAATGAATAATTTTGAAAATAAGTTGATGTCATTTTTTGTCCTTATTACAGATAAAACTACATCAAGTTTTACAAGGACATTTCACCTTGAATAAATCACTAATTTCCAATGTATAAATAATATCATTTAAATAGTTTTTTTTTACTTTTTTTTTTAATAACAAATATTTCATTAAAAAACAAACAAGTGAAAATGTATGTCCTAGTCAAGGATATTCTTGTTTTTGTATATTCTCATTTAAATCTCTAATATCTGGATTACATTTTTACCTTTCATAAACCACATGCATTTCGTGTATGAAGTGTATAATTCTTATCATATTAACAAGAACAATTGTACATNATTGGATGTATTCTCAGATTATGTAGCTATGGTACCTTTATCTATTTAGTCATACTTAGATTGGATACTGTTAACTTTTTAAGACTTACATATAGAATCTATTCTGTGACAATTCAGATTCAATAGTTCTGGATCAATCATGTTCTCATGTAGAACATAATTTCACGAATATATTTTTGTTGTTGAATATAAAAAAATGAGGAAAAAATAGGTTTTGACATTGAGTATATATTAAGTTTGTGAGAGAAAGTTTTTATGAAAGTATTAAATATTGAGATTTACGTCCGGATGCCAGAAAGTTGAATGAATTAGTCCCGAATTTGAAACTAATTTTCAAAAAAAAAAACTGGAATAAATGCATCTGAATTCAAGTCTAAATATTTTAAAAATGATGAACCCTTCTCTTGTAATTGTTATATATGCATCTCTACAGTTCTTCTTTTACATATCATCTATAATTATTTGTTTCTAACCTATGAATACTGTTGATAGCTTGTTGATATTCACATTGATATGGTACCAATAATGATTTGCTCTGAATTTTAATATATTATATTTAGAACTATCTTCCAATATTCTATCAAGATTCATATTGTTTTCAGTTTTTGTATAATGCGAGGTATATGTTGATAGCTGTCTTTTTGTTTGTTGCTTGATAAATATCTTGAGGATAGTATCAAAGAACTTTGTATATATTTTTGTAGCATTAGAGATAACATGAATTTTCGTCGTAATGACTTTTGCTATAGACTCCCAACAATGTTCGAAAAGGTATTTCGCCATTTCAGACACTCTTTATCCTCATCAAGTACTGTATGTGCATGTTAATCATGTCAGCAGTATATTAATTGTATTTTAAGTAATACAAAAAAAATGCTACTGAAAGACAACTGCAAAAATTACTATGCCGAACTTCCTGTTTCTCATTAATCAGTACTTTACTAATTATCGGCACACTTATCAGTAATGATTTTTAATAGTTGAGACTAATTAGTATTTGATCATTGGACACTTAATTAATTAATTAATTATTAACTAGTTAGATAGTATATAATGGTAGAAATTTATGTTCAATTTTGAAGAGATCTGCCCATACTAAATAATTTTCTCTCGAAACACGTTTCTTTTTGTTTATATACATATAATTGTCTGTCGCTATCGACATTACCAACATGATCGTTCAAGATCTATCGCACATATAGAAGTCGAAAAGAATGTTGAGAATTACACATTGTGATCATTGTTGATGAACTTTGTTATTCATTAATCAAAAAGTTAGTCAATATTTTCAAATATTCTAACTATTCTTTTTCTTTCTTATTCTTTCACTCTTGACTAATTTTTATTTTAGATTATCTATTATAAAAATATTTTATTGCAAAGAATTATTATACAAAAAATTAATTTTTTCTTATTTGTATAACTTCTTATAAAATAATAAACAAAAATTTTATTCTTGAATATTTTTCAATAAACAAAAATAAAACAACTTTATTTTTTCATTTGTTAATTTGGAATTTTTAAATAAAACTTTCTCAAGTGAAGATTTAATAAATAATTTTGAAAATAAGTTGATGTCATTTTTTGTCCTTATTACAGATAAAACTAAATCAAGTTTTACAAGGACATTTCACCTTGAATAAATCACTAATTTCCAATGAATAAATAATATCATTTAAATATTTTTTTTTACTTTTTTTTTTAATAACAAATTTTTCATTAAATAAAAAAAAGTGAAAATGTATGTCCTAGTCAAGGATATTCTTGTTTTTCTCTGTTCTCATTTAAATCTCTAATATCTGGATTACATTTTGTCTTTCATAAACCACATGCATTTCGTGTATGAAGTGTATAATTCTTATCATATTAACAAGAACAATTGTACATTTGTTTCATGTATTGCTTATTCAAAAGAATTTCATTGATGCGAAGAAGGATTTGAACGATCATATTTTTCTTATATTCGACAACGATCAATTCCACCACCATCAACAACAATAAAAAAAATCTGCCAACACTCATTGATTTAGAACGGTTAAGTCAACCAAAAGCTATTTAACCAAAATGAACATTCAATAAGTGAAATTGGAATAATTTCATTAAGAAAAAAAAGCAAATACACTGCAGGGTTGGAACCGGTAAGAAAAAGATAAAACTGTCTGGTTCGGCCGGTTAAAAGTCACCTCTGTACCAGTGAATTTTCGGCAAAAACTGGTTAGTTTCCGGTTGGGCTCACTGCTTTAAAATCGTTCCAAACATTGAAAAATACGGCAGAAATTGATCAAGCCAATTCCGCTTATAGGATAAATTATATAATATTTAAATAACATGACTGAACTAATATGATTTAGCTTCTCATATTATGTGTAGAAAACTCAAATTGACCAAAGTAGTTTTTTCAAAAAAAGATATTTGAGAAAATAGCGGTGTTTCTTCAGGATACACACACCCTTATATCATGACGTAGTCTGCATGTACGTGAATGTGGATAACAATTAATTTTCTTTTCTTTCTTCTTTGTTAAGGATGTACACATTCTAAAATTTATCAAAATTACTACATTCGTACTTGAAAAAAATATAATTAGACTTTTTTTGAAACTTTTAGAAAACATATGCATAATCTTTACCATCATAAGGCATCATCATTTCTAAACACGATATTGAGACTTTTCGAACTGATTTGCATAACATTGCCTAATCCTTTCAGAAAGTGAAGCCTGAAAGATACAAAATAGTCTAAAAATAGTTTTAATGTTGACATATATGTATTTAAAGTTTATTGTCGAATTATCTTTTCGTAATCATGCATAAGAAAGAAACACACGTAAAAGTATAGGCTATAATTTCATGAACTAATCATTAACAAAAAAATAAACAATTGTTCAATTCAAACTAAGTAATAAATTAGTGAAGAATATTTATTTATTTTTCTTCCTTCTGACGAAAGACGTAGGTGAATATTTTCATGTTTATTATAGTATTACAAATATCGCAATAAATATTCATTATAAACACAACAAAATTTTAAATATTGACATGATCAAAAGACTTTCTATATAAATATGTACATTAGTCAAGTAGTTGCTCTACTCGAAAATAAAATACATTGGTTTTTTTGAAAAATAAGACATAAGTAAACATAATATTTTTTGAATTTGAACCGGCATATTTCCAATGTTTACTGGCATGATTCCAGCGTTGATACGCTGTGAAAAAATAAATAAATCAATTATCATTAAAATTGTAAATGTTTAATTTTATTTTAAACTATTAAAGCATTCTAATGAACAACTAGTCTTATTGTTTTTTTTATTCTTTAAAAAGAATCGAGCTATAAATAAATAATCAATGAATTATACATACGAATTGAATAGATATACTCTACACTGTATGAAGAAGATCACTTGCTTCTTTTTCTATCATTCTTCTTCTTTTTAATATTATATAAAGAAAAAAAAAAAGAAAAAATAATTAGACGAGTTTATATCATTAACATATCTTTTCCGAATGTCTTTGTTTCACATATAAATATAAGGGATCAATCGTATTGATTTAATTCAAGATGAATTAATCAATATAATTCTTATTGTTCCATAGAAACACCAACTATGTTTCTTAATTGGCATTGAATTAAATTAATGTGATTGATCTCTAAATTGATAATCAATTTCATTTTTCATTTTATTTCATTGTCTATATTGTTCATATACTGCTTATGATAAAGTATATAATAATATACTATCTCTCAGTTGTAATATCATTTCATATATTCTTTATATATAAAAATTGAATCATTGAACAACTATATAAGAATCATTTATTCTTGTCAATTAAATAAATGGGTACACATACACATTTAGAAGATTTGTCAAATGAAATTTTCTTCGAAATATTTGATTATTTACATGCACTTGATATTTTTACTGGTTTTGCTTCATTAAATAAACGAATTTTATCTCTTCTACAATCAATTCGACTTCATGTTATCATCTTAAATAGTAATTATGATCGAGAAATTAATTTTCTTTCTTTTCATCTTATCTTTCATGCTCATCAAGTCATATCACTAAAATGTTATGATACAATTCGTAATCGTTCATCTATTATTAGTCTACTATGTAATCGACATCAGTTTGTTAATCTTCATTCATGTATATTTATAATAGATAGTATGTCATCTCAACTTGAAAATACTATTAAACAAATTCAAAGTTTAAATAGAATTGTTTCATTTTTATTATTCAATCGGATAATAAAAAAATCAATGAAAACGATAAATATGATATAACTCGAACTATATTGATGAATAAATTATCTTGGGTGTGGGTGTGGGTG